TTGCGTAACGCAGTTTCTATTTTTTGATACTTTTACACCAGAAAATTTTAATCGAATCCAATCGCTTCGATTATATTCCTGTTTCCAAGAATCGAACCATCCCATGAACCATGGTAAACGATATAATCTTCTTAACGAAAATCAATTATCACGAGAATTACAAAATCGAATAAAACCACGTTTATATTGAGCAACTTGCGGTCAGAGAAATGGAATGGATTGGACCGAGTCGTTCAAAATTGATCTAATGTGAACACAACTTTAAATAATTCAGACAAACCGTTAACGCTAGAATTACCGAATCAGAGTAAAAATTAAAGACTGGCTTCAGATTCTTTTTTTAGAATCATTAAAAATATTCAAACGCGTTTGCTAAAATTAATACTTTGTACTTAACTTTTAATCAGACAGAAGTATAATAATAGTTATCTATAACGAACGTATTGTTAAAACTCGTTTCAATCGATCGACTTTGAACGATTCGAAGTCGTAAATTATTTTATAATCTAATAAACGAGACGAGACTCGTTGCAACTCGATCAACCTGTCGTATGCACTAACTTCGACTCGAGGTCGACTCTTGGATTTGGTCGACTCGAAGTTGCCTCGAATGAATGTTTGAGGGCGAAATTTAAGCGGTTCGACACTATCGAAGGAATATTTAACGATATCCAACGTATCCCCGGTTTAAAGCTCCGCATTCGAGTCACGCGCCATCGAACATCCGGTCATAGTTTCCTGCGTACATCTCGAGCCACGATTGGCGCCTATTTTTGTATTTCGCTCGGCGACTCTCTCGCAGCAGCCTCGAAGGGCGATTCTCAATTGTCGCGAGCAACCGGCCGACGCGCATTTCAACGATTTCTTCGTGGAACGAAGCGACGCGTGTGCCCGGGAAAAGAGAAATACGAGAGAACCACGCTCGACTTTATCGCTCGAGTTGTCATTTTTCTTGCTAGGCCCTTAACTGGACCAGCTTAGAAAATGATGCTTACGGGTATGTAAATGTACATAATAATATGGAAATGTACGATGATATGTACTCACGTGGACGGATTGACTGGAAGAAGATGCGTCGCCATGCAGTTATATAGTGGATACAGTATCGAAATTATATCGTATACTCGGATCCGCAACAAATTCTCGTTTCTACATTGCTGCTTTCTTCGTAATAATAACGTTCCCTCTTCGAAATTCACATTTTGATGAGTGAAGCTTAATGCGGTTTCCCGTCGTCGATTAGCGGCCACCTGAAACGTGATGAAGCGAGAGGTTAATTTCACCGACAGTCCAACCATAATTACCACGAAATAAACGGGATATATTGGCAAATATATGGTCCGTTATGATACGAGTTAAATGTTTGAAAGGAACGTCGCGAGAATTGGTTATCATCGTTTTGGATCGAAATGCACCGATTCTACGAACGCTTTCCACCCGATTCGGATATTTAGGTCGCGGATGAAGGGCTGTGAGAGCGTTTCTTCCGCGGTGAAATCCTGAGAGACGCGCGTCTATTCGGTTGCAAAAAAATTTCTGGGTCACGATATCTATATTTGAGCGGTTCCATTTCGTAGAAATGACGGAATTTCGAACATGAAGGAATGGAAGGTTTATGGAACCGTAAGAACGATTAATTCCATGGGACACGAAGGAGTTGAATAGAGATTGAGGTGAATGGATTATCCACTGGCTAGGAAAAATGTTTGAGAAATACTTGTTAACGTTTGTAATGAATGGATTAGAAGATTGAAGATGGACCGATTGGTTTATTCAGCACACGAGTGAAGGTTGTGTAGGGTTTACACAGCTCTGTTATTTCGAGCTTCGAATCTCAGATTTGCTAAAGCTCGATGATCATAATCTTGTGAGTTCAGAAAAAGGTTAAAAATGAGACGTAAATATTTAAAAGTTGTAGCAGAAATATTATTCAATCCATTAAAAGTTGGAATTTCAAGATACGCAAACGATAATATAATAATAGATTAATTAGATGATAAAATATTCTTTGATTACATTCTTTTTTTTTCTTTTTTATAAAATTTGAAGAATACACGTGATTTTATTAAAATTTAATTAAATAGAAAAATATAGTCATCAAGAGTGGCAAATAATAAGAAACGATTGTAAGTAATTGAAAATAATCGAAGCAATATTGATATATTAAAAATCGTTTGCATTCGTGCCCGTTTGATACGGATAAATAATGTTTTTCGAATCAAAGCTTTTATTTATAAATATTTGTTTATAAATTATTTACCGAGTATTTCTGCCTCAACGTAAATATTTCAACGCAAGTGTTCCCGAACGTTTGCTAGAAATGCGTATTTGATGAATATCACATTTAACCCTTTATGGTGCGTGCCACATTTATCATTTATCTCAACTGGTTCGTTCGTACTCTATACGTTATTTTTAAATGTTGTTTGTAATTTCACATTTTCGTAATCAACGACACATAAAATATCTGGTATATTCACTTCCATTATTTTTTTTATTCACAATTATATTTTTATCATTTTTTATCCCAATTTTCTTCTTCGATCGAATGATTAAATCCTTATTTTAATTCCGATCTTTTCAAATTCACAAAAATCCATTTTCTCGAAACATGGTTCATGTCAAATGCACAAAGGTTGCAGCAAAAATTCCTCAACAAATCAGTAGAAATTTATCTCCGCTTAAAAATCGCAAAGCGAGCCGAACAAAAGAGGCGTTTTCAAACGCGTGGCACGCATTCAACCGCATGGCCTCGCGTGCGAAATACGCGTGCGACGTTCGTAGAATCGTTTCGAGGAATCGCGACGAAGATGGCCGAAAAAGACGCACGATTAAGGTCAATTCCGGTCGCGCGGTTTTAATAAACGAGACCTTGTGCCGGCACAGGTTTTAATGCACCCCAGAAACGCGCGTGCTTAATCGGAATGACCTGTATTTCAACGTCGTTTCTTTCTGTTGTTTCTTTCTCTCTTTCTCTTTCCATGTCTGTCGAAGCACAGTTTTTATTAAAGTCTCTCTCCAATGCTCGGAATATAGCTATGTCGCGTAAATAGCGTCGATAAGAGGCAAGCACTCGCGACGAGAGCACAAAGTAGTAACCCTTTGCATCTTCAAACGATCGTGTACCGATTCACAGAATGTGCCGAAGCGATAACATCGAAAACGAGAACAATCGAGAAACGTTTGTTGTAGCAAATTAATTTTTACCTTTGTAAAGATTTGTTTTTTTCCCTTTTCTTCTCGTTTTTCTTTCTTTTTATGACGACACATCACTACACAAACCGTCGTGACACCATTTTGACGATTCACTCTCGAACGAGAATTTCGATAGTTCGATCTTTTCGGTTAATAACAAATTCGTCATGGCTGATCGATGATCGATATCAAACTTCTCGTTTCAGTTACGTGTATAACCGATATTTTGCAATTTAATTAAAATAAAAAATTTCGTGAAATGGATAACTTGAAAACTCGTGAAAGTTGCCAAATATGATAAAGAGATGCATTGATTTTGATATTTTTTACATACAGTGCACATATTTTCATTATAAAATCGAATAGAAAAATATAAAAAATTCTATTTTTCACTCTTGAATAATATTTTTTCATTATTTATTTAATTACATATCGTAAAATATTTTGAATAAATATATAATTTATAGCATTTTTATAGATCGATTACGTCGATGTGAAATCAAAGTAATGGCGTCGTGAAATTGGCGGGAAATGTGTTAATGGCAACTTCATACATATCTATTGACTTCTTGAATTACAATCCTATATCACTAATAAAATATTCAAGCAAGTTCTAGCAGTTTTCAAACTTTCACAATTATTCGACAAAGCTATTTGTAATATTCATTTCGCGGTGTATTATACTCTTAAGGGTCAATTAATTGCATACGAGTCGCATACGAATTGCATATTATTGAATGTGCATTGTATGTATTGATGTCACGTATTTTGAAATAAAGCACATGGCCGGCATGGATGTCCAAACATGGTTAAGAATCTTGTGCTACGTTGATTTATACAATATATAGAGTGCAAATTATTCTTACCTCGTTTTCAAATTGCACATCGTCTTCAACATCGTCTTCATTGACGTCTTCATCGTCGATGTCTTCATCTTTCCCTTTAGTAGAGAAATTCTATCATGGAAATTTACAACTATATATGCGTGAAAACTTGTCACTTGCATTTCATTCCGAATTCGATACTGTCTACATATCAACAATAAAACAACACCTTGCTCAAGTTCTAACCGATATCGCCATTTCGAAGCACACTTGAACGTACTATATCGCCATCTCTTGAAGCGAGTGAAATTACATTCGATAGGTATTCTGTCATCGATACTTTATTTTACTGGTTTCATTTTACTGGTTACATGTATTGTTTAAAAACGCCATCTATGCGAAATTTGAATTTATAGAATATTTGCGGGGATATTGTCTAGTAACAATTCGTCACATGGTGGTAGTGGTCTCTATTAAATTATGATATAAATATAATTATAGAAAGTTCAAGTTAAATATTTATATTTATAATTGCTATTGTGTTTTTCCAATAAAGGTAATACATAATTAAATATTTAAATAAAGATAATATATAAATTATTTATATTTATTTGTATGTAAATATGGATCCTTGTATTTATGAAAGATAGTACATCAACATTATTTATTTACCATTTAGAAATAAATTTATATTTTTCTTAAGCATATATTTTATTAATATTTTTATAATCAATCTTTATATTCAATTACTATTACGCAATTAGTTAATTATGTAAATATATATATATTTTTAAATATATATTTATTTTGCATTTGTAAAAAAAAATATGAAAGATCATATAATTATTATATCAATTACATTAATTTTATTAATAAAAATATTCTTTTTGAATAAGAAGAATTTTTAAATTTAATATATTCGAATGGTAAAAAATTTTATTCTCTTCTTTCAATGCAGAGGTCCCCATGTCTTGTACATATAGTGCCATCTATCGTTAGGCATGAAATATCACTAGAAGGTTATTCAAGTTGCGCGCGTTCTCTTCATTTGACAAGTATTTCGTGTGTGTAATCCGGTTTCTGAAGTGTAAAAAGTTTTTCAAGAAAATGGGTGTTACAGTGTAAGTAATTTTGCAATTAAAGCCATTTTTTCTATTCATTTATATTTATTATTTATACGATGATGGACGCGTAATTTCGTGTACTATATGTACTTTCTCTATTTTTTGACGTTTAGAGGTTATGTTGAAATAGCACATGTCAGAGCAATACAAATGTTCTAGAATGTTTTATTTCAATTATCGCAACATTCATTTGATAATTAATAATTATCACAAGTATTTATATTTATTTAAATACAAGAATATGGAAGTTTATTATTCCTTTGGTAACCGGCATTTTGTGTGCTTGTAGTTTGCAACAATATCCGATGATAGAAAATAGAACTGGACCACAAACCATCGAATTCCTGACGAAACGAGTCGTTGCCCTTGGTGCTATGCAAACTGGCCAATTTTTGGTAGATTGTGAAACCTACGTTTCGGTGCCGCAATTGGGTAAGTGTTTTCATATTTTGAAATTGAATTTTCGTTTCATTATTTGTTCCGATACAGCGTAGTACGTTCTGTTGAGCATAGATGGCTATAATTGTACCGTTCGCGAAATAACTTTCACAATTTTAAGCAAATTTTAATTATTTATTGAGAGACAGCATAATATGTAGTAACGAAATCAATTTCTTAATCTACATTTGCGAAAATTAATTACAGGATTGTTTATTTATAAACACTATGTATCATAGGAAATACTTGGTAAAAAGAGAATAAGAAAAACAATCGTTTGACGATTATGTCTGTTTTTTTTTTTTTTTGCATTTTATATGATGTATATGGATTTCTATACAAACACGCAAGTAGTTGGTTCCGCCGAAGGTTATTTAGCGCTTGGATATTCAATATCGCCTGTTATTTCTAGAGAGGTATAAATGCAGACGCTAATGAATTTTTAAGTACATACTTATTCGTAGCATAAATACAGAATGCACTCGTTCGACACGTGCACATCTCTTTTAATGCAAATATCATACCACCGTATCGGCAGGATTGTTTTGTGCTATTCGTATCTCTTCAACTGACCTCGATTCGAGAATTAATGAATTCTCATAAATTTTTATTTGCTTTTAGAATCGTTCCATTAGTAGATTAGCATAACTATATACGACATAATCTAAGAAATTGGTAATAGAAAGATGATTAAAGCGTAAATTCAAATTCAATCGAAGAATTACGAATTTTTTTCGCAAAATTTATATTACATTGTATCTCGATCGCGAATTATAATTTTTCTTCTGGTAATCGCAATGCGAGTTAATCACCCCGCTCTATTCGATTCGAATTTCGCGCGTCATCGATCAATTTGACCATAGTGCGCGAATTTATAAACAAGTTTCTTAATTTGCGAAGGTACAAACGAGCTATGTCTAAGCATCATTACAAAAATATTAAATCTAGCAAGCGAAGCTAGGCGCAACCCTTTTTAGGATAGATCAGATATATATATGTATATACATATACGTTTATATTACTATGTATATCCTTAATATATATGTAGCTTTTGAAAAATACGTGTTTTCTCGGAATATTTTTTTCTCAATTTTTAGCTTTATCTACGTACAAACGAACATCCCTTTCGGTGACGGCCAGCGCTTCCTTCGAATGTCCCATTTTTTATTGTCGATAAGTTGTAAATAGTTCGCGTTAATTTATTGTCGATAAATAGAAGACGTAATTACACATATAGCCTAATTACAACAGGCCGTGGCATTTTCGATATTGCGCTATATTTATTTTGCAAATATTTTTTTTTTCTTAATATTAAATTTACAAACAATTTTCTCTTGTTTCTCTTATTTTAATGTGTACACACAACGTACACGCACATACATTCTCACACACACGGTATATGGATACAAATGTACATACGTGTGTGATGCGGGCCACGGAATTTTTCGAAAAAGAAAAAATATATATATATATATACAAAAAATTATAAATAATTTTTCAATTGCACTTTGCCCGATATGTGTACCATTTATCAAAGGTTATAAATTTTTAGAATTTTTTTAAAATCCAATTTTATTTCCGATTATATCATACCACGGCCTGCATCATCAATTTCATCAATCAAACGACTTTCGAAATTATAATTACATAGTTATGCGTGCATTAATACGAATTCTAATCTGACTTTTGACTCGCTATATCTAAGGATTACGATAATACCTTCAATTCACGAAAGTGCACAGTGCAGATTTTATTTTTATTTTTTTTTTGTTTTTACGTCGTTTCGCTCGTTGCATATCTGTGTGTTTAATTCGCTTAGCTATTAACTAGTCGAAAGAAAGGATATCTTTGATAATTGAGGAAAGAAGTAGGTTTTATCGTTATTACTTTTATAGTTGTTTCAAAGAATTTATCCGCTATTCCTTATCCAGTTTCGCTAAATGATTTTTTTCAAAAAGTTTACATATATATATATATATTGTTCGGCGCAGTACACTAAAGAGAAACGAGATAGTCTTACGATGGTCGAATAATCATTCTGTACAATTTATAATATGTATGTATATATATTTATATATATTCATATATAGAATCCCGGTTTTTCTTTTTCTTCGTTTTTTAAATTCTTATCCTACGTGCACTCGTTTCACGAGCATTGCACCTGTGTTAACTTAATTGTAAAGTTTTTTTTTTTTTTTATTATTATTCAATACTGCGTCCAAGCCCTTGAGCATTACAAGATATATTTTTAGATAGGTATGAGATTCGAAGGTGCTGCGCTCTCCTTATTCTTCATTATTGTAGACAGTAATGTGAAAAATCGTACGAAATTCTACGGGATTAATCTTTAAGGGATATGTCTCTATTTTAATATCATCGTTATCCTAACGAAAGCATCGAGGCTTGGAAATATTTTTAAGTCGTGTGCTACGAAAGATGTATCATTGTCCACGTAATTCAATGATAATTAATTTTCTCTTTCGCTGGTTTTGATTAATTTTTAAGTACACGATTCTCTATTATCTATGACAGATCAGAGAATTCAGCACTCTTCGTTAGAATATTGGATATGGCAGGGATATGACTCACGGGATGATAAAACGATTAAAGATGTAAGAAAAATCCTGCCGATAGACTGCACGGAAAAAAATATTGAACTGACTCGTAGAAACGTTTTGAAACTGAAATTTGTTGAATTTCGCGGAACATAGGCGAACATTTGATATGTCGACAATTTAATATCCCTGACGTCGGGCCTCTTAATCAATTAGAATTAATTAGAATTCGTTAAATCTACTAGTTTTACACAACACGATATATGGATACATTTTTAGAAAAATATCAAAACGATTCGATTAGAATTCAATTCGTAACGAAAACTCTTGTAACGAACGAAGAAACACTCCTTCGTTCTAAATACGCGTGATCTCTTTACATCGCAACATCGAAACAATATAATAACTCGTGAAAAATATTTTCATCCGTGAAGACTAGGCGTTCGATCACAGATGCAGACCGCTAATATTCTGCAAAGTCGACGCTGACGAGTTCTACAAACTATATAAAAATATAAAATACAAATGCCGTTTCCTCGAATATCCTCCTCCAAAGGATTCCACTCTTGGATCACTATCATTGCACGAATATTATTTTATGCATTCGCAACGCTTATCTCGACGAAATTTATACAAAAATCCCATCCATCCATCGGCGACAGTCGAATTCTCGAGATACACGAGATCTTATCTCTTATTTCTTCTTATAAATATTCCAAATATTTAAAAAAAAAAAGAAAAAAAAACACGACTGGCGTCGAAGTTATAGGATAAACTTTTGCCAATTTTTCGATCCCATTTCAATTTTTTTCTCTCAAAATCTAACGCACGCGTGTCTCGTATTAATTAATCATAATTAATCATACAGTATTGTCGCGAAAAATTTGTTCATAGTGTTCGAACACGATGTATATATTATATACGTGTTCGTACAATGTACACGTAATAATCGATTTATACAATAGGTACTTAGTGTGAAAGATACGCGTAGTATAATATATCTACAGATAATAATATTGTCATCATTAAGTCAATGGCGGCCGTATATAGAACCGTAGAACGAGGCCTATCGAGTATTTATATACCTTATAGTGTCAGACAAATGAAATATTCTCTTCCTCTGTACCGCGTCTAAATTGTTTCTCTCCGTTCTACATTCTTTTGCCAAGCGATAGCGTTTATGTCACAGAGATGTGTATATCAATATATAGCGCGAAGTAGTGTTAAATTGGGGAGAAAGCGACGAACGTTCCGCATACCTGTCACACACAAATCGATCACAAAACCGTTCCAATCGTTTCGTTTTTTATCGTCGTTTTTTACATAAAAAATAGTCTTATTAGGTAATTAATTGCACGAAAAATAGAAATTTTCATTATTTTCTCGTCTCATTTAACACAAACGGATTTTCAATTTTTTTCTTACGAGCGAAATCGCGCAAATTAATTTGATACCCTTTTAAATTTAATACAACTTGATATTATCCAAATAAATTTAATTTTCTTTCGATTTCGATACTGGTTTTAAATTTGAAAAGAAAAAAAAAAAAACGACGAATAATTAATAGCATAGAATAAAATTTCCTTCAACGTGGTATCGAATCAATTGATGCTCTGAAATCATTTCAGAGCTCGAAGATCAATCGTGCGCTTTTGAAAGAAAATGGATCTCTGAAATTTTGTATCACGCTATCACGTTTTGTATTTTAATTAGCTCTTCTTTTCTCGCGTGTTATTTTGGAAATTCTTTTAGTTGAAAATATCACGGGTGAAACGTCTAGACAATCGACGGACCAGTCTATCGATTCTATTCTAAACAATTTATTGTATACACGTGTATGTATGTATGTACGACTATCATTTTCTTTTTTTTTTTTTTTTCTTTTTCTTTTTATGTATAATTTATACGTATTCTGCGTTATTATCTGTACGTCTATGTGTATATATATATCGTATTTGCGTGCTCTCAGAAAAGGCACGTTGCACGGAAGAGCGTTCTTTATTTATTTATCTTTTTTTTTTTTATATTATTATTGTTCCAACGAGATCCATCTTTTCGAATGTATACATATATATATATATACTTGCAAGAATTCGTTTGATATATATATATATATATATATATAGCTACTGAAAATAACTGTATGCTAATTTAATGCGCTTCTTGGTCAAAATATCGTTCGAGCATCGTTTTTTCTCACAAGGCAGATCACGAAGATGGGTCTATCTAATTTACGTAATTCAGTCGTGTCGTTTTTGAAAAAAGAGATCTTACTCGTCGACTTTGATTTCTTTTACGATAATTATCGAAAGTGAGCATAAAACTGGTCAGAGGAGGGAGGGAAAAAATTAATCGTTTGAACGTACTCTTATTCTTTTAACAATTATCCCCTATTTAATTTTTTTTTTTTTTATACCTCTATTCTATCGTCGTATAAATTGTACCTTTCCTTTTTTTTCTTTTCTTTTCTTTTCTTTTTTTTTTTTTTATTACATACGAAGTCTTCTTTAGAATGTCGACACCCATCGCGCGTCAAGCGTGATTTTAATAAGATGGTCGTTAGGACAACAATCGTTCTTTCGTTTCCGACCAATCTTGTACAATTACTCGAAATAATTATCTCGTCCATATATTTCTATCGACTCGCGAACGGAAAAAGCTCGTATCAAATCAAGGAACTCGGTAATCTAACGCCGTCGTGTAATGAGATCTTGCTCAGGACAGAAATCAAAATCTTCTTTCTTTTTTCCAATACTCTTCGATACCGGGAAACGAGATTATTTCTTGCGGGAGGCTCGATCCCGGAACGATTTTAAACATCGGGAACTCCTCCTCGAGTTGGAACCCCTCCCAACTGGACCAAATTATCCGATCCTTGTCGAACGGACAACCCCCTCGATCGATCCCTCCTCGTGCATCACAAGTAGCAAGTTTTGTAATAGATGAACGCGACCGTGTCCTTGCCGAACGTCCTGCATTCCCTCTCGTAGTGCACCTGACCGGGCTCGTACTTGCCCCCTTGGGGATATTTGCTCAGCCTGGACAAACTCCTGTACAGTCTGAGGTAATCGTCATCCCCGAGTCGGTCCTCCCGACTGTACCCGTATCGGCGCCGATGCCAACCGGATGACTCCTCGTCGAGCGAAGCAACCCTGTCCTCGCCACCCCTCCACTCACTCGCCGCGGCGTTCGACGACGCGAGACCCCTCGCCCCCCTCCCGTCCTCCAGCTCGAGATCCGACAGCTCCTGCAAGCTTCTCCCCGGACAGGCCCGCCGCGATCCCAGCCGGGGGTAAACCGATCCCCGCTGATCCCCGAAATTGATGGTCCTGCCCCGCGTCCTGGGCAGAGTCGAGCTGCTGCTGCTGCTGCAAATCCTCCCGTTCCCCACCATTATCGGCTTAGCCGAGTCGACGTCCGCCCTCCTCCCCCCCTCGCGCGTAATCGCGTAATCGCCGACCCCCCGTCGCGGTCTCATCTCCATCCCTCCGTCGGCCACCCTCTCCTCCCCCGTGGAGAGGTAGACACCCTTGCCGCGGACGTACGTCCTCCCGACCCGACGATTCCGCCCGTACGATCGTTGACGATCCTCCTCCCGCGAGCGAGTCGCCGCCTCCTCCTCGTCCTCCTCCACAGGGTTGAAGAAACGGCTGTAATCGTGCTTCACCACGTCCCCGTTGCACGATCGCGGATGGAGGGCCGCGGAATTGCCGCCGCGGAACGGGTCCTCGCCCGTGGAACGGCGGCCTGCCGAGAACAGGGAACCGCCCCGGGATTGGACGAAGTTGCCCACGTTCCTGCCGATCCTGTTCGTCCTCTCCGCGAACATGTTGCAGCAATCGGTGAACAGGCTTCGACGATTGGGCGCGTGGCGCGCGGAGGACGTACCGGTGTCGGTCGGAGCGCAACCCCTATCGTACAACTCGCGCGGATCGTGTTGATTCGGGTACGCACCTCCCGGCAGGGGTTTGTTGGACTTTTCGAAATTCGACAGGCCCCCCGTTAACGAGGCCTTATACTACCGCGCCTGGGCGTAGTCCGGGTTCATCTCGTCCAGCTGTTTCCCCTTTGTCTCAGGCACGCAACAGACCACGAAGCACAGACCGCATACGGCGACCGCCGCGTAGAACCAGAATGCCCCGTGTAGACCGAGCGTCTGAAACGAATTATTATTTTAAGGAAAATGATTCGAGGGAAATTGTCGATACACGGAAGGAGAGGTTATAGATTGGGATTTATTAAGATTGAATTAAGTTCTCATTTATGAGAGTACCACTCTCTCGAGTGCCAAGTTGTTGTATAGTTATCAGGATCGTTGTGAATGGAGAGGGGAAGAAGAGGAAGATCGGTAACACGATCAAAGAATATCTGAAACGAACGAATTACTATTTTAAGAAAAATGATTCGAGGGATATTGTCGATACACGGAAGGAGAGGTTATAGATTGGGATTTATTAAAATCAAAAGCTTCTCATTTACGAGAGTACCACTCTCTCGAGTGCCAAGTATTGTATAATTATCAGATCGTTGTGAATGGGGTGGAAGATCGGTAACGCGATCAAAGAATATCTGAAACGAATGAATTACTATTTTAAGAAAAATAATTCGAGGGATATTGTCGATACACGGAAGGAGAGGTTATAGATTGGGATTTATTAAGATTGAATTAAGTTTTCATTTATGAGAGTACCACTCTCTCGAGTGCCAAGTATTGTATAATTATCAGGATCGTCGTGAATGGGGTGGAAGATCGGTAACGCGATCAAAGAATATCTGAAACGAACGAATTACTATTTTAAGAAAAATAATTCGAGGGATATTGTCGATACACGGAAGGAGAGGTTATAGATTGGGATTTATTAAGATTGAATTAAGTTTTCATTTATGAGAGTACCACTCTCTCGAGTGCCAAGTTGTTGTATAATTATCAGATCGTTGTGAATGGAGAGGGGAAAGAGAGGAAGATCGGTAACGCGATCAAAAAGCTCGAATATTTGAAATGAACGAATTATTATTTTAAGAAAAATGATTCGAGGGATATTGTCGATACACGGAAGGAGAGATTATAGATTGAAATTTATTAAGATTAAAAGGTTCTCATTTACGAGAGTACCACTCTCTTGAGTGCCAAGTATTGTATAATTATCAGATCGTTGTGAATGGGGTGGAAGATCGGTAACGCGATCAAAGAATATCTGAAACGAACGAATTATTATTTTAAGAAAAATGATTCGAGGGATATTGTCGATACACGGAAAGAGAGGTTATAGATTGGGATTTATTAAGATTGAAAGGTTCTCATTTACGAGAGTACCACTCTCTCGAGTGCCAAGTATTGTATAATTATCAGGATTGTCGTGAATGGGGTGGAAGATCGGTAACGCGATCAAAGAATATCTGAAACGAACGAATTACTATTTTAAGAAAAATGATTCGAGGGATATTGTCGATACACGGAAGGAGAGGTTATAGATTGAAATTTATTAAGATTAAAAGGTTCTCATTTACGAGAGTACCACTCTCTCGAGTGCCAAGTTGTTGTATAATTATCAGGATTGTTGTGAATGGAGAGGGGAAAGAGAGGAAGATCGGTAACGCGATCAAAGAGCTCGAATATCTGAAACGAACGAATTACTATTTCAAGAAAAATGATTCGAGGGATATTGTCGATATGACGGAAGGAGAGATTGTTAAGATTAAAATTTTTGAAACGATTTTTGAAAGGTGCGTTGAAAGGTTCTCGAATTTACGAGAGCACCGCTCTCTCGAATGCCAAGTGTTGTTGTATAATTATCAGGATCGTCGTGAATTGGGAGGGGAGGGGGAGGAAGATCGGTAACGCGATCAAAGAGCTCGAATATCTCGATTATACACTCGATCGTCGAGACGAGATATCGATCGAGCGCGGATTATATCGGACACCCGACACCTACGTTTTAAGTGTCCCGATGGTCTCTTGCCTCCCCGCCCCTCGTCTCACCTGCTGAAAATCCATGAAGAGCTTAATCCCGACGAACGCGCAGAAGTAGCTGAAGCTGGTGCTGATGCTCGAGCCGAGGCCGCGATACTCGAGGGGGAAGAGCTCGCCAATCAATAACCACGAAATTGGCGATATGCCCAGAGCCAGAGCGGTCGTGAAGACGAGGACGCAGAGCAACGGTATCCAATCGTGTTGGCCGACCACCGCCGAGTCCGGATATCCCAGATTTTGCGTCTGGGACATGTAATAGGCATAACTGCCGAAACCGGCCAACGCCAACGACATGAACACGGTGCTGGCTATCAGAAGCGGTAACCTGCCCACGATATCGATCAGGAATCCTGAGGGAGCGAAGAAAATTAGATTTAGAAAGGAAAAAAAACAATTGAAAAGAAAACCTTCGTTTCGTTTCGTTTCGTTTCATTTCGTTTCGTTTCGTTTCGTTCGTTCGATTCGTGTATTCTCGCGTGTCGTTCGATAAATACCTTGGAAAGGAAAGGGTCGGGTTACTATCTGCGTACCTGATAACAGAGAAGCCAATAGTTGGACGAAGCCAATCGCGATGGTAGCTCCGTGAGGATTCATGCCGCCCAGGGTCTGCCTGAATATGATCACCGCGTAATAATTGAACGCGTTCGCCCCGGAAAACCTCTGGAAAAACATCAACCCGCACGTGATGGCGATAGGCTTGTACAAACGAGGCGTGAACACGCTGTTCTTGAACGTGAGCTCGTACTGCTTCGCCCGTGACGCGAGAATGTTCGTTTTGATCACCTGTCAACAATCGTAATCGTGATCTAATCAAATGAACCTCCTCCCCGAAGTATCATATATATATCGGAATTGCACGTTTGAAAACGTTACCTGGAGCTCGTGACGTATGTCGACGTGATCACCGCGCAGCCACTGCAAGCTGTTGGCAGCCTCGTCGTCTTTGCCATTCAGAACGAGATACGACGGCGTCTCGGGTATAAAGAGGGTCCCCAAAAAGAGCATCGAGGGCGCTATTGCCACCAGGAGGGCGCTTTGCCTCCAATTCAAGTACGTGCCGGCTATATACGACAACAACACGCCCACGTGGCCCAGCACCTTCAGCATAGCCGACAGGCAACCTCTGATGCCCGGCATCGAGATTTCTGATATGTATACCTGGAAAAATGAGTCTTGAGATCTATTCGAAAAAACCATATGCATATATATATATATATATATAGTATACCTGCGCGACCATGGTGATCACGGAGCAGCAGAGGCCCCCGATGAAGCTGGTCACGTAGACCAGTTCCACGCAGGGCGCGATCCCCGTCAGGATCCAGACGACGGCCAGGGGCAAAGACGTGACGCGTAGGGCCAATCTACGCCCCCTTCTCATCACCCAATCGCCGATCATAGCGCCGAACCACGCGCCCAGCATGGACAACGAGGCGACCCACGACGCTTCTTGTTGCGTCACCGAGAAAGCCGACCTGCGACAAATGGCGATACGATTACAAATGACAGGGACTAGCGTTACAGGGGAGCCTAATACCCCTGATTTGAACCCTGCGCGACGATCGATCGATCGAGTAATCGATCCTCGGTTCAAGGATAGGAGCTTCTACCGCCGCAGCACAGAGCTGCTACAAGAGATTTCGAATCCATTTTCTTTTTTATACACACCGATTGATTCGCCTCGATTTCGTGTTGGGTAATCGGTCGTAGAAGAAAATCGTACAACTCTCGATTTTACTATGGATCGACGAAGTTTTGAATTTATTCTTCGGTAATTGAACGCGGCTCTCGGAAAGGAAGATATCGATATTCGGAGTATACGTGTCGATTATAGTTGAAATTCGAAAACAACCGTTTTAACTCGATCCAATTGAAATTAAATTGCGTATATAATACGTAAACTATATATATATATATATATACATAAAATATTGTATACACGAGATAGTATACAACGACCAACGATTTCTTTACGCGTAGTGGTTCCTCGATAGCGATAAAAGCGAGCTATCGCGGAGAAAGTGTGCGACAACCGGCCGAAAACGGAACGCGATGACGTTAATGCATTTGCTTAAAACGAATTATCTAAGATACTCGCTCCCTCGTTCGCTTTATTACGCCACGGGCGAAATATCTTGTCGGGTTTATTTAATTTTCTTATCTTGGCGAGCGACGCTAATCGTTAGGGGACACGACACGCGTCTGACTCGCAATTACTTTACCAAGTCTCTCTTACTACTTTAAAACGGCCGCGTGTTACGCTACCGCGCTCCATGCTTTCCGCTTAAATCAGGGGGGGGGGGGATATTATATTATCGCGCGTGAAAATGATACGCGATACGTTACCACGTGTCGTTGTTGGTGGACTGATAAAGGTGAGGCGGTTGGTTGTCCAAGATGGAATCCAAGGCGGGCGAGGTGTAACCCTTTGCCAGGCCCGAGGAAAGCGTTCCCATCGACAGTGCCAGGGTGGCCAACACCTTGTGAATGAAACACGTCAAGATGTTGAGAAAAATTCGAGGGGAAATCGCATTACAATCGATACAAAAAGTCGCCAATAAAACGCTCGGAGGTGTTAAAAATTCGTTCGAAGATTCGCTCGAAGGATAATGTTTCCGCGAATTCCTTCGGTGTGTATGGCAACAGATGTTCATCATCGGGGAAACTGTGCGTATCGGAGCCGGAGATCGTCGGACAAATTGTTGGTCGCAGATTGGAAGCGAATCCTCGCGAGGAATACTAAACATCTCGCTCTCTAACGCATCCTCTCTAACGATCGCTTCTCTGCTCGTATTTATGACGATGCTGATGAACAGAGAGAGAGAGAGAGAGAGAAGGAGGGATTCGTCGTGAGAAACCGATTTTATGGTGCACGGGGTCGAAATTATCGGAATGGAATTCCTCGTGCGATGGAACGCGAAGCGGTTGTTGTAACCATCATCTCTCTCGTCTCTCTCTCCGTCTATTTTCGTATATTCCGTTTACATTCGCGCATTTTTCGACGAAAGACGAGGGCGATTTTCACTTTCCCGCCGAGCTCGTAAAATTCTTCCTCGAAAAAATGAAAAAGCAGGATCGATCCGGAGGAAATTTGGTCGGATGGATTTCCGCAACAAATCTTCTTACTTGCAACACGATTGTACAACACGATACGCAAGGCGCCACGTATCTCTCTTCCTTGTTTGCGTCAGCGTGCGCACGTCGTTTATGGTACCGTGCAAGAGGCAGTAAAATATACAAATATTGCGCGACACTCGTAGATAGCTTGGTAGCATCGTGAAAATGGAGAATCGGTTACGGGGATTCTAGAATTTTCAATTCCGGCGAGAGTTGAAAGGAGTTGAAAAGAAGGGATTGCGTTATCTTTGCTTTGGAATCCTTAATACCGAAAAACATTTTTTTTTCTCTCCCCTCGGAGGGGGAAAGATATTTTTTAACGAATATAAGACAGCGCTAGCTTGGGGTGGGCTAATTATCATATGGCTCGCTCGACGTAAATCCAGATTCTTTCGCGACGGCTTTTTTTCCCCCCCTCGTTTTCAGTTTCTCCGTTATAGGATATTTATTATACTCGGTCGAGAGAACTGGAAGGAATTAAAAGGAATGCCGCTTAACTGGATACCTTATAGGATATACAAGCGTGCACTACAAATGATTTAGCGAAAAAACGCGCGCGCGATTAGTGCGTTAAAGCGTCCAAGCGTATATCGACTGATCTGACTGGTTTTTCTTATTATAAAACTATCTTAAGACTTTTTCGAGCAGCTAATTTAAAAACGAAAAAAAAAAAAAAAAGAAAAGAAAAAACTTCACACTATGTTCGAACGTCCATTATTCCACATTGTAACGTGATTTACATTCGATTTTACGATTCGTCGAAACGTCGGCGAAGGTGAAAACCCGTTCAACCGTGTAGATCTGCCTCTCCTCGCAAATCAGTTTTTCTTTTTTCCCGCGAAATCTGTCTCCGTTAAACCGATAAAAGCGTCTGTTCCGGTAAGGGGAGTTAATTTACTCACTTCCACTCTCGAGTGTGATTACGCGAACAGAGAGAAACGACCATCGATAAAGCGAGGAGAGCGGGGAGAGAGGGGGGGGGGGAAGAGAGCGCGAAAATATCCGTGTCGAGGCGCTGCACGTTTTCCAAGTTGGAAATATTTCCCGCCCGTTATAAGTGTCGGTCACCGGCGCGGGAATTATAATTATTTATGAGTCGCATAATTGTGGATAAAATTCAGGGTGTGCCTTGCAATTATTGCGCAACTTCTCCCGTCGAGAAGTGCTTCGCGTGAAATAAATTGCCACGCTTGAAGATCGCGAGATAAACGCATTAATTCATCGCGAAACAGGAAAGGGGGGAGGGGGAAAGGGGACACAAAAATTGTCCCCCGGTTATTCAATTATGTTATTGAATTATGGCCGGGGATATAATTCGATTGCAGCCGATCGTGTATCGACCGTGGTTGTCGAAAATATAACGATGCTTGTTATTTTTTTTGAACAAAAAATTTTAACCAACTCCCCCGAATTTTCCAACTTTTTGGATCGGATTCAAAGATCGTCGCGATACTTTTAACTTTGGAAAATGGTTACTCGTTCGAAATAAAGAGATTTGACAAATTTATAAATAAAAGGGAGATTCACGAACAAGCGGAAGATCGATAGAAGAAAAATTGGAAAATGTCTTCGAGGGATTAAATCCACAATGTCACCTGTTGTGAATATCCTGTCGATATTTTATATATTAAACTCGACGCGCGAGTTTTCGAGCGTGACACTTTGTTGCAACACGTTCGATTATTTTACAAGTTTACGATTCCGTCATCGTGAGGAATTTGAAGCGCGAGTCGACCGATCCCTCGGAAAATTTGCATAAACTTTCGATATCCTCCTCCTCCTCCTCCACGATAGATCCGGAGACAAGTTATTGCAGGCCATTTAAACGCGACGCCGCAATAACCTTTCCGTCGTCGCGGCGGAGACGCCGATATTCTCTGCCCGCGAACAATAATGCGTGGGTCGGTTGAGCCGGTTTTCAAAGCTTTTTATCCGATTGCTCGTGCATTGGATCGTGTGAAATCCATACAACTGTAGTTATATACGATCCCGATCGAACGATCACTCACTGAATCATTGAGACATCGACGGGCTCGGATCGGGCTCGCGATATTATTAACCCATTAAAAACGATTGAATTGCTGCGCATGTATACTTTTATTCAAAAGTGGACTCGATTACCTTCTCGATCGAATTTTCGAAGAATTCGTTACTTCTTCCATAAACTTCTTTCCATAAACGCGACCGATATTTTAAACTTCGTCGTAAATCGAACGGTACCATTCTCGTAGGAAAACTTTTACCAATCGAAAACCGTGTTGAAATATTTCTCACGTTTTTTTTTTTTAAAACTCCAGCATATTAAATCAAATGGCGATCCGAATTTTTCAAAAATCCTTCGATCCGGCAAAGTATAAAATTATCTCGCCAAATGCAAATGTCGTCGCCCAGATCCGGGATCCCGGGTAGTCGGTCGTCTCTCGTGTCCCGCGCATTAGTCTCGCGCAATTACTCGAATACGAAATCGGGCGTCGGGCATACAAGGGGGAAGACGTGGCGAGACGTGACTCACCACCGGTTTACGACATAACAGCGTGCGGCTGTGTTGTTACGTTACCACCGATGGATACCCCCCCTCGTGCTTGGACATCGCGCCCAACTGGTGACCCGGCCTGGGCCCTGTTTAACCCTTTTGACGCTCACTTTCGAGAGACGTCTGACGCGCTCTCCCCTCGCCGTTTATAGTCACACCACGTTGCGGCTCGAACTTGCCCCGCCAACTTGTACATTGAAACGTTTTGCCGGGGAGAGGCTAAACGAAGATTAAAGTCGAACTTGAAAGATCGAGGCGTCGTTCGCTCGTCGCCGTTCCGTACGAAGTTCGATTTTCGAAATAAATAAGGAAGTCGTATATATATTTATAACCATGCTCGTTCAAACATGCGGCTTGATTTATCACGGTTATATAAATATTTAAGTAAACGTTAATTTTTGAATTATTGTTCGTAATCGTTTCGGGGAAATTGGTTGTTTGATTTCTATATCCGTGAAATTGACAATAAAATCTTTCTAGAGAAAGTAAATTTAACCAGATAAATTTTTCCTTTCTTTAGAATCGTACGTATATCGAATCTCGTGCTAATTTCCCCCGTGCTAATTTCTAATAATCTAATGCTGTTATAATATTAATGCACGATTGATGATTTTTATTCGCATAGCGGACTCTTCTCTCGAACTTGTTTCTCAAAACCCCGTCGAATCTTGCCGGTAATTCGATATCACGAACAAATCCGGATTGGAAACGGGAAATAATCGAATACCCGCTTCGTTGTAACTTAAGCGAGATTCGATAACACCTGGTTACCATTACGCGGGATGCGATTATCCTCGACCAATAATGGCGTATAATCGGACACCGGTGTCAAAGTTGGAAACACCCCGTTAATTTGAGCTCGCCATCCGCTCGTACGCGATTCCGTTTTGACGCACGACCCGATAATCCTAGAAATCTAATTCTCGAAACGGGCGAATGGATTTGTATTCCGCGCAAATATCGATGGCGCCTCGTTCGAGGAGGAAGATATAATAAAATGGCCGCGGTATATCGAACAATGATCGTTGCCGATAATTCGGCCAATCGATTCAACGAATTAACCTCCCTTCCCTTTCTTTCTTCTGAGCATTGGCGAGCGTTTACAACGTTGATCCTGAGGGAGGCTGGTGGTGGACATCGAGTTGAGAGAGTTAAAGTTAACGCGGTTGAATCCATTTGAATCTTTATCGTTCGAGAGTCTTTTATTCTCGATTCGATTCAAATATGATCGATCGATATCGGGTAGAGAATTAATAATCCGAGCTTTTCGCTAAGATGGGGAGATAGAGTAAGCAAAGGATAGAAGGGATTGGAACATTTTCATTCCCATTTCGGTTGAAAGTTCACGCCAACTTTTCCCTCCAGCGAATATGAAACTCTCTGTTAGGCGAAGCTTTCCCCGTTGCGTTTCTTCTTAAACGCGCGACGTTAAAAGCTCGTTTACGTCGATGTGCCTCGAGTTAAGTCCAAGTTAACCGGGAGAGCCATTAGCTTAAAACAGTTAGCTGAGGAGATGCTGCTTGGTAAGCGAGGAAAGAAAAAGATGGGGAAAAGAGAGCTTTGAAAGTCTTTAGAGTCTTTATATTGTGAAAATGGGTGGTGGTCAGTTCGGGCAAGCAAAGTGCACACCGTTGCACGTATAATACGCGCGAAAAAAATGGAGAAAAGAATCCGGTCGATATGCATTTTAAGCTCGAACCACTCAATTAAGCTCACGGCTGTCTTCGGTATTTGCATATCGATATGGACCTATGCCAAGAAGGAAAGATTCTCTCCGGATTCTCAGTGGATTTGGATTATTTCGAGTAACCACGGGGAAATGTAAATTGGCGAAATGGGCACGCCGATAACGTCGCCTTGGCCGCCAACTATAATTTCTATCCCCCTCCTCCCTTTCTTGCGAATCTCTCCTTCTCTTTTTCCAAGTGAACCAAATAAAAAAAAAAAAGAAAGATACGAAAGAAACAAGGAAGAATCTATCCTTGTTTAATTCGAATAATAATAATAAGCTCTAACTAAGAAGCATGGTGATCGATACCTGTGACATGTGTTGCGGCCTCGTCGCCGTCGAAGTCATGTGCACCACGGAAGCCCTGGGCATTTTAAAGCTGTTCTCTCCCTCGTCCGGCACAGTTGTTACCTGCAACAACGCCCAATATAATAAATACGCTGTTATTACTCTTTTTGAATATTTCATTTCGAGATCAAATCAAATAAATTTCTCAAAACTATCAAATCTTGGCCAGTGTCATCAGTGCGTTAGCTCCCCTTTTTCTTTTCTTTTTATCTTTCCCCACTTCGAACGGATCAAGTATTATATTCGATATAATATATTTCCCAAAACCGAGATTATTAAATCTTGGCAACTGTCATCAGCGCATTAACTCCCTTTTTTCTTTTCTTTTTATTTTTCCCCACTTCGAACGGATCAAGTATATTCGATATAATATATTTCCCAAAACCGAGATTATCAAATCTTGGCAACTGTCATCAACGCATTAGCCTCCTTATTAAAATTAGCTTCTCTTTTTCTTTTCTTTTTATCTTTCCCCACTTCGACCAAATATTATATTCGATACAATAATAAATTTCCCAAAACCGAGATTATCAAATCTTGGCAACTGTCATCAGTGCGTTAGCTCCCCTTTTTCTTTTCTTTTTATCTTTCCCCACTTCGAACGGATCAAGTATTATATTCGATATAATATATTTCCCAAAACCGAGATTATTAAATCTTGGCAACTGTCATCAGCGCGTTAACTCCCTTTTTTCTTTTCTTTTTATCTTTCCCCACTTCGAACGGATCAAATATATTCGATATAATATATTTCCCAAAACCGAGATTATTAAATCTTGGCAACTGTCATCAGTGCATTAGCTCCCCTTTTTCTTTTCTTTTTATCTTTCCCCACTTCAAATGGATCAAGTATTATATTCGATATAATATATTTCCCAAAACCGAGATTATCAAATCTTGGCAATTGTCATCAACACATTAGCCTCCTTATTAAAATTAGCTCCTCTTTTTCTTTTCTTTTTATCTTTCCCCACTTCGATCAAATATTATATTCGATACAATAATAAATTTCCCAAAACCGAGATTATCAAATCTTGGCAACTGTCATCAGTGCATTAGCTCCCCTTTTTTTTTTCTTTTTATCTTTCCCCACTTCGAACGGATCAAGTATTATATTCAATATATATAATATAATATATTCAATATATTATAATATAATATATTCAATATAATATATTTCTCAAAACCGAGATTATTAAATCTTGACAACTGTCATCAGTACATTAGCTCCCCTTTTTCTTTTCTTTTTATCTTTTCCCACTTCGATCAAATATTATATTCGATACAATAATAAATTTCCCAAAACCGAGATTATCAAATCTTGGCAACTGTCATCAACGCATTAGCTTCCTTATTAAAATTAGCTCTTCTTTTTCTTTTCTTTTTATCTTTCTCCACTTCGAACGAATCAATTATTATATTCGATATAATATATTTTTCAAAACTGAGATTATCAAATCTTGGCAACTGTCATCAGTGCATTAGCTCCCTTTTTTCTTTTCTTTTTATTTTTCCCCACTTCGATCAAGTATTATATTCGATACAATAATAAATTTCCCAAAACCGAGATTATTAAATCTTGACAACTGTCATCAGTGCATTAGCTCCCCTTTTTCTTTTCTTTTTATCTTTCCTCACTTCGAACGGATCAAGTATTATATTCGATATAATATATTTCTCAAAACCGAGATTATCAAATCTTGGCAACTGTTATCAGGGCATTAGCCCAAAATTAGCGTCCCTTTTTCTTTTCTTCTCTTTTTTTTCCCCACTTCGAACGGATCAAGTATTATATTCGATATACGTGTACAACATTGTTTTTCGCCGTTTGTACACAGGATATCGTACACACGATAACACTCTACACGGTTGGATCCGGTGTTACAGGATCGGTCGTAAAACTTCCGTTCCGCTTCACTCCGCGGCGCACAACTTGATGGTGGTGGTAATTGAATGGCTCGCGTCCGCTGGCCCGCGAGAGGAGAGAAACGAGCACCGAAAAGTACTTTACGAGTCGTTTACAGAAACTGGAAAGGAGGAGGAGGAGGAGGAGGGGGAGGGACAAGGTGTAAGCTGGACGTGTAAGCGAGTAACACGACCGGCCCACGATAAGACTTTTCCTCCGTTGGAAACCCCATTGTCTAAGGTAGCTAAGATAATTGTCCTCCACGTCCAATTGTGCAACCCACGCGGTTGTCCCCTGGCCACCTTCTTTTTATTTTTTATTTTTTTTTTGTCGTGTGACAGGCCGTCAACTCGGCTCGAACCAACGTCTAAATCCTCTCTGGTTTCTGAATGCGGAATCGTAGTTGAATACGTGCAGCGGCCGCTGTCTCCCGTTCATTTGCATCCACCTGACCACGGAGCAGGGGAGTGGTCACTCGATTCCGTGACTGTCGCACACTTTTTTTGCTTGGCCCCCTCGTTGGACGTTGCCAGAGTGGCTGCTGGCCGATCAGACAGAAGAAACAGAAGGTGTTTTGTTTCGTTTTCTTTTTTTTTTTTTTGGACGAATATTGGAAGAGGTTTCTGTTTCACGCTTCTCGTGATTTATCGGGGAGCTGGTTTTCCCGTCGATGACGAAATTTCACTCTCGTCGAAGCTCCGATTTATATCCAGCTTGTCGCGGAGACGAGAATGAAAGGAGAAAGAGAGAGAGAATCGAGAAATGTAGGAAAATATCATTTCAAGAGACGTGATTAGATTAGAATCAATTTAGAGGAGACACTGTATTCTTCCATCCGACACTTTTTTTTTTTTTGAAATCTTTACCGCGTATCCTTTCTTAGAAAGTCGTTTCTCCAATTTCACGAGACAGGAGAAACTGATATGCCCCTCCCTTCCCTCCTCTCGGTGTATAATAATATTCGAGCGATTCGATAAAAGTAAGAGATCTCTGTAGAGAATTCAAGACAGCCTTATTCGAAAAGGATATATATTTATTTCCGAGAAACATTCTATATGCAACGTATGTGTATGATTCCCTTCTATCGAACTTTTTTTCATATATGATTTATAATATTACGATATACGTTCTCGATATCGCCAACCTTGTGCGTCGTTCAACCCTTAACCGGCCCCGGACGCGTGGGCCCTGATAAGGGAATTTAGGAGGCGTGTCACCTCCGTTCACCGCCGAGCAATCTGCAATATTCCCTTTACAGCTATCTAACACGCGTCTCGTCGTCGCGGAGAGCGCGTCTTTTTATAACCGTTGTTTATTGCGATAGGTTCAAGTTCCTCGACTTCCCCCGAGATACCCGACGAGGTCGGATAATTATAGGCGAACCGTTCGAGAGGCTAGATACCTCTTATAATTGAGATACCGCTAGAGCTACGAATATGTCCCTCCCTTCCCTTGCTCCTGCGCACAATGGACCGTGTAAATCACTCTTGTCTTCCATCCACCCACGCCCGCCTTCCGCTCAAGAAGTTTTCGATGACCGGACTCTCGTCGTGCTCCGTGGATCCGGCTCGGATGCGTCAACGAAAATCGATCGGGGGGGGGAAGGAGAAATAGAATTGATGATCGTGGAGTCGATTTTACTTACCGATTATTCCTTGCATATTTGCGTGTAGTGTTGCGTTTATTGTTGCGATACTTTGCGGAACGAAGCGAGTCTCTGTTTTAAGAAAATAAATAGGGGGACTAAAGTAGAAGAATTCTCGTATTAAATCTTTCTCTCCACGATTGCTTTCGATAAATCCTCGAAGAAAAAATTCCAAAGCTTTGGGTCGTAATAAAATATGGAACATTTGAATTTCGAAAAGAGGTGAAAAGAGAATGACAATTAATAATCGCTTTCAAATATAAATAATCTTCATCTCGCCATCAACGCCATCGTATCGATCGAATCACTTCTTCTCGAAGAATCCTCCCCTTTTTCTTATTTTCTTTTTTTTTTTTTTTTACCCTATCTATGGTATCCTCGACGACACTTTGTTCCCCCGATTGATAGTCGGACTACAAGAGACGAGCAACTCGATTTTCAATAACCGAGCAGATAGCAGATAAGCCGGCCGCCACCCCACACTCACGATTTCTCACGTTTTCTCCCTTCGTGTCGCCCTCTCCCGAGGGATTTATCCCTCGAGCACCTCGCCTCCAGGTTTGTGGAGCACCGTGGCTCCACAATCGTGCCTCGAAATCAATATCTTCGAAACGCCGCCGTATTCCGTGCTCCCCGTCGAAACCGATTTCGAAGTCTAATCGGCCACCAACCTCCCCCTACCCCTGGGAGTTTGTGTTACTCGTTATTATCGTGGATCGTGGAACGTTAATCGAAAAGTTTCGCCCTTCTTCCGATGGGTTTTTCGGGCGTGTCAATTCCATTTCACCACGGAGAATTAAACGATCCGTTTCAATTTTAAAATTGGCTTGGAAATCTATTTTATATTTCGCGAGAAATATACGCCTCTGAGTATATCTTTCCCAAGTATTTATTAATATTCTTCGGTTTTCGCATTAACAAGCTAGTAAAACAACGTTGATTTTTATTTCATTACCAATATCGTTCTAATTATTTCTCTTTCGATTTCGTAGGTACAATTTTTCATTCTCATGTCAACGAGTGAGATTCAATGCTCGAAAAATACGTGATTTAGAAGGAATCGCGATGAAGCGTATCTTAGAAAGAATGCACGTTGAAGGAATGAAAAGTTTGCGCAGTTGGTTAATCGTATCGCGCGTAAGGTTGCGGAAAATGAGAAGGGTGCTCGGAATTTATATCCGGCCGGTGGGGGAGGATTAATCTGAATAGATGAATCTGAATTCGAGGGAGTATTCTAGGGCACGGGCGAGCGTGCATACGGAACACCGGTTTGGATAATATTTTCCCTAGACTTTAGATAAAGGCGAGAGGCGTACATATATATATATATGCGCCTCGAAGAATATCGCGCATTCGCCTGGGTTAATAATAATTTCATGCCCGAGATTTAATAAGAGATGCCTCGAGCCCAAACACCGTTGTTTTCGAATCGTTATACCGGCCTTGCGGCCTCGGATAAAACGTAACTTAATAACCTGATTTTCCTGATAAACAAGCAACGGTTACAAGGAA